AAGGATGCCTATATGTTCTAGAAGGAGAAGCTCGTCACGACTTCCCAGCAGCAAGACATTTTGGATAAAATAAGACTTTGGAGCTGATATCTAGGGATTTTTGGTGGCCTCAAATGTAGAAGGCAGTCTAAGATTTTGTACTATCATGTGATGTTTGCTCAAGATCAAAAACTCCTCGTCATCGACCTTCTGGACTTCTTCAACCATTACCCATTCCAGAACAACCATGGTCTTCTGTTTCTATGGACTTCATTACGGATCTTTCAATCTCAAGTTCTTATGACTCTATATTCGTGATAGTAGATCGTTTTACCAAAATGGCACATTTTGTTCCATGTACAAAATCTATCATAGGTGAAGAAATAACTAAGCTCTTTCATGACAATATCTATCGCTATCATGGATTACCCAAGGATATTATATCAGATAGGAGAACTCAATTTGTATCAAGATTTTGGCGAACTCTTTTCAAGATTCTAAAAGTGGATATAAAACTATCTTTGACATTCCATCCTCAAACTGATGGAGAAACGGAGCGTGTTAATCAAGTTTTGGAGCAATATTTAAGATATACCATTAACTACCAACAAGATGATTCGACAAATCTTTTGCCATTGGCAGAGTTTGCTTACAATAACACGATACATTCTTCTATAAAATAAACACCTTTTTTTACTAATTATGGTTATCATCCACGACTTGATACTTTTGACTTTTCAAAAGTTAATAATCTTGCTGCAAAAGATTTGGCGATTTATTTGTCAAAGCTACATGCAACGATGAAGGCACAGTTAAAAGAAGCTCAAGAACAACAAAAGGTCAATGTAGATGTCTATCGAAAGGAACAACCACCATTCTTCTTGGGTGATAAGGTATGGCTACTTCGTCGCAATATCAAGACCACTCGTCCTTGTGACAAGTTGGACTATCGAAGGCTTAGACCATTTTGTATTTCTACACAAATCAATCCAATTGCATATTGTTTATATCTATCGATGTCAATGAAAATCTATTTAGTATTTCACGTGTGTCTTCTTGAACCATACACGACAGTGGACATACCAAGAAGACGACAAGCTCGACCCCCTCCTATGGAAGAGGACAATAATGAACAATTTGAAGTAGAAGAAGTCTTAGATTCAAGGCGGCGCCAAAATAAATTAGAATATCTTATCCATTAGCGTAGATATGATATTAGTGAATGCACATGGGAGCCAATAAAGAATCTTACAAATGCAGCAAAGACGGTGGAGGCTTTTTATCGACGACATCCATCAAAATCAAGATAAAATCTTCTTTATAAAAGAAACAACATTTAGGCAAGATAACATTCTACTTTCAATCCTTGTTTGTAGCTTCTTTGTAGTTGTGACGCTCAGGAGATGGAAAACCAACAACCAGTGGATTCGACTCAAGAGCCTTCATTTGCTGACCTACCGGATGAGACATTACGATTGTCACAACCTTTAAGATGACACAATCGAGATGAAGATCTTCAAGAATGACATGTTCTTCCTTGAATAGATGGCGAGATATAAGACATTTGGTATCACGACTTGGGAAGGGACTCCCGATGTTTGGTGATTTTACTAGAGGTAGAAACAACTCCTGATGGTGTTCCAAATGTTCTATTCGAAGGAAGTTATGAAAGCCTCAACAATGATCAAATAATTGGGTGGTCTTTCCACCGTGATATGGGACACTACCGATGGTTGAAAGGCCCTATCAATCATCTTCGAAGAGAACAAAGATCAGAGTATGTGGCGAATATAATTCATCACATCATAGATTTCTTCAACATATGATGACCGCTCATCGTGGAACTCGTCTCTAGAAGAGGGGGTAATGTCATGGACATACTCATGTTAGCTAGTAATTACATATATAAATAGATAGAAGTAAGTAAAAGTAGATAAAAATAAGTTAATTCTATAATATTTGATATAGAAGCTTTCTAGAAGCTTCATAGCCACTGCTTTGACTTTATAGGTGTCTTTAATTGACTTTTTGGATTAGAAACGTGGTCAATAAGTTGGCCATGTGCCACACATGTTGTTAGCTTGAAGACCAAGCTAACAATGTGGCCCACACGTAAAAAAACTTGCCTTGTAAGTCAAGGCATGTGTCTTACAAAGTCAACATATATTGGAGGTCCTATAGAACGTCGCCATGTAGCTCCTAGTTAGATAGTATATATAGAGACAAGAGTGAAGCCTTCTTCACTCTTGTCAACTCCTTTCTTGTTTCTAGTCTAGTTTCAAGAGTCTTCATGTTTTCTAGTCTTTGGCAATAGCGATTCCAGTTTCTCTTTCAATATACATACTTGTTTATTTATATTTTGTTACCTTTCTTTGAGTGAAGGCTCACTTGTCTGAATTACTTTTTCTTCAAGTTCTTGTCCTTGACAATTGAGCGACCTAACAATAATTTACAAGCAACAAAGTTATTGAAGGAGTTTAAAAGATAGTATTTTCAATCATCAAAAAGAGAAGTTAACATTGAAGCCAAATAAGGTTGAGTTATTTCTTCAAGCTGCCAATGAAGAATTACAAGAAAAATTAGAGTTGCTTCTTAAAGACAAAGAAGAAGATGAAAGATTGACAACGAAGCAGAGAAACGTTGAGGATGCTATGAATTTGCTTGCAAAACAATAAAAGAAGAAAGATAGAATTAATATTCTAAGAGTAGTATAAGTACCTAAAACTCAAGTACCTACTTCACGATTTATAATATCTATTGATTAACCTCCAACAATTACATCAAAGAAAAAAAAATATAAAACTTAAAGAGATTATACATAAGATGCGAGATCTTCAAATCAAACTAGCTAGGCTTGAGGTGAAGACTTCTACAAATGATTCAAAGACTACTTCTAAACAAGGATATGTGCAAAGATGTATTTGGTGTGATGATATTTTTCATTCTCAAAAACATTGCATTGTATTCAATGAGGCGATAAAACAAGGCAATATTTTTTAGAAAGATGGAAAAGTTGCTTTGAAGAATAGTGGTATCTTTCCTAAACCAACTTTGATAAGGAAGATATGAAAGCATTAGTTAAGAATTATTTGATTACACATGGGCTTGTAGCAATGGAAGTTGCAAGTTATGGTGCTAGCATAGAGGATGGCTTTGATGGAAGTGTAGAGACAAGTTATCACGAATATACTTATGTTCTCTAATAAACACCTATATGATTAGATAGGAATAGATAAAAGCTTTATAGAATATATTCCATTGGGGCAACTTGTGCATGAGCCAACTAGCATAAGCTGAAGTAATGTATTATCATTAGAAAACAGTGGAGTCGCTTGTTGAAAAGAAACAGTGCACTCTGATACTCCTTATGTTTGTTTTTAGCTCCTGCGGGTTAAATAAATACCAATTTGTGAGCCGTGTTTTGTCCACTGTGACTTTTTCAATATCCACCAACTTACATTGGAGAGTGCTACAAAGTGCCAACCTAAACCTTTGGCTCCCTTCACGTATGTATCCACTAAAACATTGCAATGATGTGCAATTAATTCGAATTAGTGGTTTCGATGCACAAATATTCTGCCTTCTGATTGGCCGACTATAGACTATGCAGTTGTCGCTATTTGACTCAGGCTTTCGCCATCATGGACTGGTGGGAAAACTCTTCCGGCATTGCATCGTGTGGTGAAGTTGGCTTCTAGGTAGAATCTTGACATGGGTTGACTATCTTCAAATGGTCCTTGTCCAGAGCGAAAGCTTCACCTGAACTTCTGGAATATTGCATTGAACTCCGTAATCCTTCCACGTGCCAAACGTCGAGCCATGTGACCACAGAAAACGATCCCAGTTATTCCACGAGATGCACAAAAAGGAGCTTCAAACTTGCTCGTAAATACAGCAACTTTCTCAAGTAAGCCATCTAGATTCAGCCAACTTCTCCGCTCTTTGCGTGGTGATTCCATTTGTTAATTATAATAGTCGCAAAAATGTTCCTTTTCTAACATGTGTGAGAAAACAATTATTAGCTTTTGTGCTGCTGAGTAAAATCCAGTGAATGGTCAATTGGGCACCAAGTCTAAAAGTTCCCGGAGCTTTAGATGTTGACTTTTAGGCTCCTTTAGATGTGTTGGAGTACAGCTGGGGTTTGGACTCTGCCAGACATAAAACTTCGCTATGATCTTGTTGATGACGACGGAGAAGATAAGCATTAAGGAAAAACTTTGGGTCATTTTTCTCTGATGTTCAGTTAATAAGTGTATTCACACACATGAACACACACCACATCAGGATGTCATAGTCACCAGTTAACACATGAATGCTGCAAAAATAATAACGATTCGCGAAGTTTCTGATAAGCTGAAAACGTCGTGACCTGATTCTTCTCAATCGCTCTATAGGATCCGACCCAACTGGTACCAAATGCAGCGACAACATTTTCAGCTTCATTGATACAGAAATGCTCTCCGAGTCGTGATAGACTCGCATCATCGGGGGGCACTGGTAGGCAGATTAATTGCTGTCTAGACAACTCAACGACGAAGGATCCGTGCAGCTGAAGCTTTGGCCGACTACGCCGCTCTAGCTGATCCTCGAGTTGGCTGGATTCAACCATCTGGATTCCCGGCCTTCAGTCATCTAGCGGTAGGTGCGGGAATTCTAGACTGAGCACTGTGGACCTTGTTGCACGGTGTTGGAACGCAATTCAATCGAGGTTGGCCGGTTAGAAAGCGTTCGTGTAAAATTTTCCGGGTCAATTTCGAAGACTGACATGCCGGGGATGCCGAAGATGCCTTGGCGTCATCGCAAACGTGGCACACATCGCAGACCATCTGCTTCGTTGTACCAACTGGATTAAGCTCTTCCTGGATTCCCTTATTGCTTGTACTTGCCGCCATACAGATCATCCCCGGTAAACTGCATGGGTTGACACCATCAGCAAATGATTCACATGGCAAATCTCAAGATAGAAAATGTTGGCTGGCTTGGTCCCGCAAGAAGGTAAAGTAACCCACGAGCTTCGGCACGGTTCATGCCTCTTTTTGAGCATCGCTACCAGTTCGGGTTGGATCATCGATTAAATGCATCGCTCCCTCATACGATCCGTCTCGCTGTCCGAAACTATTCCGTACTCTCCTGGTGGAAAGGGGGCTGTCAGTTTGTCAACAGATTGCCGCTTCGATTCAGGTATGCATCCACTAGCAGCGGTGGGTTTTGAGCGTGCGATCCTTTTTGTCGGCGAGTTGAGAGATTGTGGTTCTGGCGAACTTGGAGGCGGTGTTTTTTTCTTACTTGGTGGTTCTCGATTTTGAGAATTGGAAGATGGTGGGTTGTGTGAGTGCGTGTATCGTGGAAGAGGCAGACTGATTAGCACGCAACGGATTCAGATGAGCTGTAATACCGGCGCGGAGTGTCGAGAAATATTTACTATACGTGAAACGAATTTAATAGCTGTAAAGCCACAGCACTTCGATGTTATAACCATCTATTGCAATGACGCTTCTGATTGATAGCAAAGACCTCCGAACAGCTCAAAAACATTATTCCCAAAAGCTTCTGTTGGTTCGACGGATTTGTAGTTGTGAGTTCGTGGGATCTTTCTGACGAAACCAATCCCCTTAGCAGTGGTGGTTTATGTGGTTTACTGAAGCTTCCAGCTAATACCGCATCTTGGTTTGTGGCTTCAACCTCGAACTGAGCTGCGGCGTCGGGCGCGAGTACGCACACGAGCTGCTGCAGCAATCGTGTTGGTGGAATCCCTAGTTTGGAAAATTTGATATTCTTCGAGTAAGTTATTCGGAGTGGCTGTTGCATGATCGGACAGTAGAAGGTTTTTCTCACATTTCATGGTTGGGATCAGTTAGGAATTCCTCGCGGATGTATTTACTCCACATGGGTTGCATTCGATTGAACCTGGAGCCAGAGAGCGGAGATCGAGCGTGGCAGTTCATAACAACCAGTCTCCTCATAAAATTTTCTAATGCTCCGTTTGTATGAACCGTCTATTGATTTCTGCTCTCTGATGCAGTTCGCCATGATTTCCTCGGCGTGAAGTTTCGTCAGCAACTATGTCTACAGGGTTGGGTTTAAGAGGTGGTGCGGTAGCCCTGCTACTCCTGGCGTTCTTCGTCTTCTTCACCACAGCTTACCCTCTATGTGCAGATAATCTAGGTACCCTCGCGACCGTTGACTCTCTCCAAGCCTTGTGCAGGAAGCTGCTGATCACCAAATAATGTTTTTACAGCTAGTGCAGAGTCGTCACAATCATGTCAGAGCTGGATAGTCGATCTATCAAAATGTTCACACAAGAGTTGTCAAGCTTCGCCTCTGGTACATGTTTGGCAGTATTTGATTTGACATGAGGCTCGACTTCTCGATTAAATACTAGAGGTTGCAACTGAATTCTCGATTACGTGTTTGTGATTGCAGAAGCTCCCGGACGAGCGAAAACAAACTTAACATTCTGCTCAGCACCTGAGTTCGCGAACAGTGGATGCTGTGACCCAAAAGACGATGCTCAGCTCAAGGCTACTTTCGACGGCATGCTTATCTCTGATACCAGATGTGCAAATGTCGTAAAGCAAATCCTGTGCTCAGTATGTGATCCATACTCAGCGGATTTGTATGGCGCTTCACAGCTTTCGAAGGCGCGCCCGGTGCCTTACTTATGCGCCAGTGGCAACGGCTCCTACTGCAACCAAGTTTGGGGCGCTTGCGCTAATGTGAACATCACAAACTCCCCGTTCGAGCCTGGTCTTCAATCCATTGGCAATAGTAGCTCGAAGGCCACAGCTGCGCTCAACAAATTCTACAGTAATGACACGGCATTCTGCGCAGGCGCAGCGCCGCCGTCCAGCGCGGCGGGGGGTTTCTGCTTTAGCGGGACACCCTTGAAGCTTCCACAGCCCATAGTTCACAGCCCTCCGGCTGGGATTTGCCTGGAGAAGCTGGAAGATGCACAGAAAGGATACTTTTTGAATCTAATTCCGCACCCGGATGGCTCCGACCGCGTCTTTGTGAACACACAGGCCGGGCTCATGTACATGGCCACCCTTTCCGAACCGGGCTCAGGGAAGCCGCTCACCATCGACTACTCGAAACCGTTTTTGAACATTTCTCATCGAACGGAGGGCAAAGGTGAGCTGGGCTTCATGGGCATGGCCTTCCATCCAGACTTTCTCAACAATGGCAGGTTTTTTATTTCCTACAATTGCAATACAACCAAGTTTCCCGATTGCAAGGGGGCGTGCGGGTGTAGCAGCGTCAATCGGTGCAGCAATGTCTCAAATGCGTGCACCTGGTCTGCTATTGTGGCGGAATACACCGTCAACGCTACGGGAGTCACGCCTAACAAGGTAATTTGAATCGACCATCCTCACGATGATCTCTTTCTCTTGGGTTCATTGAACTTCATAGTAACGATTCTGTTGCTGACCGCCTAATTGAAGCAGGCGCTGCAAGCAAGTCCCAACGAAGTGAGGAGAATCTTCACATACGGGCTCCCATACGAGAATCACCATGCTGGAGGATTGTGGTTTGGTCCCCAGGACAAGCAGTTGTACTACCCCTTAGGAGATGGAGGTTCCTACGACGACCCTTGGAACAACGCACAGAATCTTAACATGCCGCTGGGGAAGATGATGCGCTTGGATATCGACAACTTTCCTGGTGAGTGAGCCCACTCGCTGTGGATCATGCTATGGGTTGTTGTAAAACAAATTCTTGAATGTTGTGTGATGACCGTCTGCATTGTTTATGTGAATGAACAGGGAGTACAACTGGGTTGTTTGGAAACTACAGCATTCCGCGTGACAACCCCTTCTATGGTGTGAACAACACGCGGGGAGAGATTTGGGCATACGGACTGCGCAACCCATGGCGCTGCAGCTTCGACAAGATGCAGCCATCGTACTTCTACTGCGCGGATGTTGGCCAGGTGAGTCATTGAATCTCACTCACCTCTCAGCTATATTAGTGCTACGAAATTTGAGTGCAAGTGACCACATGATTGTCATTCTTACACGGGATCGTCTTTCAGAACAACATCGAGGAAGTTGACTTGATATCCAAGGGTGGGAACTACGGGTGGCGCGTGTACGAAGGCACATCGCGCTTCTACCCAGCAGTGTCTCCGGGCGGCTACACGTCCGAAGATTCTATAAATGCGATCATGCCGATCCTTGAGTATAATCACACAGTAGGGATCTCGATCGCCGGCGGCTACGTCTCGTATTCCAGACAAGATGCTTGTGTCTACGGATCGTAAGATTCACCCAAACCTACAATGGCTATCTCTAACTGAAATCCTGCTGCCACAAGAAAATCCCAATCACTAATGGTTTCACGCGGAATCTAATATTGAGAGTTGCATTGCAGGTATCTGTATGCAGACTTGAACGGGTTTCTGTTTTCTGCATTTGAGAATCCCCCCATGAGTGGCAAATACGTGAATAGCAGCCTGCCCTTCAAGTGCTCTTCCAAATCTCCCTTAAATTGCTCTGATACTGCCCCTCTAAACGGGGTCATATCCTTCGGCGAGGACGCGAAGAACGACATTTACATTCTGGGCGTAGACGGGGTGTACCGAATGGTGAATCCCAGCCTATGCCAAATTGAATGCAAGGCGGTGTTGCCTCCCGGTCCCGCCCCGAGTCCTGGTCCCCTCCCTCCATCGCCCCCTTCCAACGCAGCCTCTCTCTTCCTCATTTTGCGGAACAGCGCCTTCTGTGTGATTCTTGCGTTGTGTGCTCTTGTTTGGCTCTGAAGTACGTGGGAGTCAGGGGATCAGGTACTTGGGTTTTGTCCACAGAAGAGAATCCGATACTCGAAGACGCGGTGAATGTAGTGTAGCAGGTGAATAACAATGCGGCGGCTTCATTTGCCCTCGGTTGTACAATATCTTTTAGAAGGAAGAGTAAACTCATCACAATGCAGATCAGGTCCGCGTGACAGTCACCGCTGTCTTACTAGTCTGACCGCCTTGAACGTCAGAGTCGAGAGAATACTGTGAAAATTTCGAAGCATCCATTTACCATTTGCTCAAGCGGCATTTTGCATGTCTTCATCACGGTCCCTAGAAGTTTTTTGTATGATATATTACATGTGATTATCACTTAAGTATGAAAATTTGTAGGTTACACAACGGAGATTTCCCTCTGCTCAGTATTTCGGTGAATGATCTTTGAAAGGGAAACCTTGAGTAATCAATATACCCAACAGATCATACGAGTTGGCCTTATTGAATACAGGCTAATATTGTGGGAAGACATGAAGCAAAAAATGAAGAAAGAACCCCGGAGTTTGAAGCAAAAAATGAAGAAAGAACCCCGGAGTTTGAAGCAATCCTTGGTAGTAGATGGGAGAACTCCTAGACGGCAAATAACATCACAGAAAACCAAAAAACAGAATCAGATGGTAGTCTGCTGTTCTACAAAGTAGCTTAACTGCTCACACACCACATGCGGACCCAGTACATGGGTAAGTTGTACTTCTTTCAAGTTCGTGCTCTTTCAAATTTGCCCCTTTGAAACAGGTACTAGGGCTTCATATGGTATTTTCCACCTCCTTTTAATCAATAAAACCCGTTTACCCATAATGTGTTATATATACACATATAGATTTGATCATTCAACTAAACTCAGAAGCACAGAACAATCGAAATGTACTTCAAGAATTTTTGCGTGTTTTAATTCTGGATTAAACATGCGTGCTCGAGGAACTTTGAATACGCTGTATATCGAAGTTCAGTTGCTCATGTCTAACCCCTCATCTCACAGGTCGTTCGTTTGCTTCAAGTGCCGCAAAATCGCATTTGCATCGTTCATTGCGGACCCACCCGGCCTGGACCCATGACACTCATCGACGGAAAGACGCGAAGGGGCGAGTGGATGTGTCACGAGGATGGATGAGGAATGGATAGGGGTACCCAATCCTGCTCACGCCTCCCTGCTACTTGGCTTCCCTGCTGCGTTGAGCAGACATTTATCTTGCTCCCACACCGTTCTTGCGTTTTGCATCATCCCTCCGCTGCTTCTTGTAGGTTTGTGAGTGCAATCCAGAGTCGCAGTTAGTCACCAAGATGGAGAAAATGTTTGGGCCTGCGTACACCGGCGATCCTGGAGTGCCCCACTCGGACAAGGAGGCTTTTGGTTCCATTTTCTGGGGCTCCGTGGCTTTCTCCGCGTACTCAATCGCCTGCCCTTACTACTGGGAGCAGTGCAACAATATGTTCAAGTGGGTTTCGGTTTTCACCCTGTTTCTTGACGTCTTGTGTTTTCTGGTTGATTTTGAGTGTTTTCCTGGAGGTGGGTTTCGGGGCTTATGCGTATATATCGCATTGACAATGAGCTTGGATGATGTTTATCGCAGCTGGCACGACCTCGCTATGGTGCATGAGCAGCATCACTGGAAGCGCGCGCAGAAAAAGGGGAAGGACTATGAATTCAAGGTCAGTTCCTTGCACTTTCTGGCGAACTTCGGTAGGGTTTTAGGGTGTCGTGAGTTGAGCAGATGGCTTACTCGTTGGTTACCCTAAAAGATTGGGTAGTAATTGAGACTTTCCAGAAGAGAATTGGTTGATTGAAACGATTTGCAAACCGTGTGCGTGGTTATTGTGTTCAGTGGAATAAGATATTGAACAAGACGCAGCGCGAATCGTACTACCACAACTGGGCAGATTACTTCCCTTAAACATGGATTAGTGTTAAATGTTAGGATAGTGGCTGATGATCTGCCAAAGTGCTGAAATGGAATACCTGTATGTAGGGCTTTACCCTGATTATGCACAAGAAGCTCATTCAATTGGTTCGTATTCACCCGTATCTATTAATGAATGGGCTCTTTCTGTAGGTTTTATTTTTCTTTTGAATTTGCTTGCAATTGTTGCCAACTGTCAATCGATCATGTCGAGTGAGATCTTAAATCGTATTATGAATTTAGTGATCTTTAGTGGAGTCTCAGCCTTTAATCTCCGTGTGCAGACCTTTTAGTTCCATTGCATGATTCATTCAATCAACCATACTCAGATTTTATTTATACAGCTTGGCTCCATTTCAGAATCACCTTCATGTTTTCAAATTCATTTCTACTTGCCTAGACTGATGTTTTAAAGTGGCACACCTGAGGGAGTTGCGTCTGTTTGATTGATACTGTAGAAACACAAATCATATGAGATCTTCTACCAGCAATGGCGAGGTTTATCGACCTTGAATCAGCTCAAATTTCGAACCTGATGGAAAGCACGCACTCCTGCATCAAAGAGTGGCTCAATGAAATCCTCCCCATGGAATAAAAATAAGAAAATGTGTATCATCAAGCAAAACCTGAATGCAATAAGTACTGGTGGACATTCCAACATGAACAGCGCGAACGTCACGTGAACAATTCTCTGCACCAACTCTAACCAACTTGAAATCGAACAGATTTCCTACGCTTCAGCAAACAAAATGAGTAGAAGTAAGAATTTACTACTGACGAACTACTATTCTTTAATTAGGTCTTCTATATATCCAATGCTGTCCGTCTGGCTCCACTCGTAGATTGTTCAGCCTCGCAAACAGATCCACAGCTCGCCGAACTCCTCGTTTATCTGCCGCCGTAAAGTAGTCGTGGCCGAACATCACACCGCCCGGCCGCAGCAACCTGTAGGCAATATTGATATCTGACCACGCAGAATGGAAGTCGTGAGAAGCGTCAACTTCAATCAAATCGGCATAAATTCCCCATTTACAGAAGCTCGTCAGCGACGCAACAGTAGCAAAAGGTACTGGTAGAGTGGACCCCGCCAAGTTTCTACTAACTACATTCTGTATGAACTGGTTCATGAGCATGGCATCCCCATTCTGCTGCTTGATGTCAGCGAATTTACCCCTCCGAAACCCAGGCCACCCACGGAAATCGTCGAAACAGAAAATGTCGGTCTGCAATCCTAGTTCCTTGGCAATGGTGCCTAAATGTATTGCCGAAGCGCCGAGAAAACTTCCCAGCTCTATCACAGACCTGGGCTTCACTTCTTCCATGAGACGCCGAAACACGGTCCCGTTGGAGCCCCACCCTCTGATTTGCTCCGGCCGCAGAAGAGCCTCCACATGCTTGGGTGGGAAGAGGTCATAAGGCGACAGGCCGTCGAATAGCTCATTGATGAGAAATTCTCGTATTGTCTCCGGAGGCATTGCCTCAGTTTTGCACTCATGGTTAAATGTGATGAGGTCTGTGGGAAGAATCCCGTAACCAGGTGGTGGCTGGTTCTTGCAGTCATCGCTTTTCTGTGTTTGTTGTCGTAGTGGCTGTGGAGGTGGAGATAGTTGTGGGGAACTTCGGAGTGACGAATGTGTGGCAGAAGCCGAAATTTGTTGAGTGTTCGAGTCTATATACGGCGCGGTTTTACTTGTAGAAGAAAGGGAGAATGCCGGAGATGTGAGAACTCCTATCAGATAAGCAAGGATTGCCACAGTGAACAGCAATGCAACGTCTCGCACACCCATGATCTTTATTTTCCATGTCATCGCGGTGGTTCGTTCTCGTGGCACCGCCTTGACCTCGACTCTTGTTGGCAATTCGTATTCAAGTTCAAAGGTGCCTCTACATCTAGTCGTTCAAAGGGCGAGGTGAACTCCCAGTTTAATCAACACAGCACTAATACGAGACGAGGTTGTAGACTCTCACACCTCAGGAATTTCGGGAACGCCCACTTGCAGCCATTTTAGGTAAGCAAGAGATGAGACAGATACTCGGAGACCACTAGGATCTTACGAAAGTTGGACATCACGACGTCTAGCGGACCGCCTGGTTCACTAACTATTCGAATTTCAAAAACCATCGTACTGCGAGTACCTGCAGCAAAGAGTTTAATCTACACGGTAATTCAACTCAGCATGGCAGGACCCGAGCAGAATAGGTTGTCGTCAGAGCAGGATCGAAATGATTCAAAAACCCTGGAGGCTGTGTCGAAGCCCAAATAACGCACCCGCCCCAGCTCCATCATTCAGAGTGATCGAGCGACCATTCCACAAATGCGAAGCAGGGAGTCTTGAACACCTTATCAAACCCAAATACAGACAAACATTTAGTTTTTCGTAATTTTACAGAGAAGTAGAAGCGCAATTCCAACTAAAACGTCGTAATCAAAACCTCAAATTGGAAAAAATAAACAATGCCCGCAATCGTCGTTAAGGGGCTTACATGAGTGCGATTACCCACCGACGTGCAACTCGTCCAATTTAAGTCAATTCCACCGGAATTAGCACCTCCGTCACCCCTCATACGACAGAATCACTTCCGCCTCATCCTGCAAAATTGCATATTAGCGGAACTTGCGACAACCCATAAAACTATCGAAACCCACCTCATCATCTATGTATCTCTGCACCACAAAAGGAATAGACTCAACCTCCGGAGCCAATTCCACAGCACGTGGGGGTGCCATCAAAAGGGATGCGTCGAAGGCCAACAAAGGCTCCAATCCACGTCGTCATGATTGGGCCTGGGCCATGTCCAAAGGGCGCGTGAGCTGCCACGAAACAGAAGGCTGGAGCACGCTTCCCCCACCATGACTCGCAACCCCCATTCCTCCTCCTCGAAGCCTAACTCCTGTTCGCCATAACCGGCCACCAACTCCCGACACGGTTTTCTGGCTGTTTCCCTTGCGGAATCGAGGCGGAGTCTGGCCACGATTCTCCAAAAACTGCACAGGGCTGAGACTGCACTGCACTAAACTGGCCCTTGGCTCACCGTCTTCGCCTCCACCTCGAAGCGGGCGCGACGTCCGCCGTGCTGCACGTGACGCGGTCGCCGCCGCAAGGGCCTCCTCAAGTCTTCACGGTGGCGACTAAAATTACTGTAACAGTTGTGTTAGTGTGAGTATTCACTTCCATGGCGCTGTCATCGATTATGAAAATATAGATAGATAGATACAGGGGAATGTTAAATAGACCCAAAGTTTCCACTAAATCCACCCACCCACCTGTAAAAAACAAATGGCATTTAAATTTATTTTTCCATTGTTTAATCTCTAACCAATAAAAATCAATCACATTCATCATTATTACCATATTCTTTATTAAAGATGAATCTATTTTGTAAAAGCGTGGGTCTATTTAATCAATATATATATATATATATATATATAAATTTCCTAATTGAACTCATCTCATAGTCACATTGTCATGGCACATATCAATAAGTCAGATAAATCCCTTATTGCCATTGTATGCAAGCAAGTTTGTAATGTGTAGGATGAAACTCCATTGATTTTATAACCTTTGCTTACACAATATCCAAATCCACAAGAGTTCGACCTGCCCACTAGCCTCATCTTCTTATTATTGAAAAAAAAATATGAAATACAAAGCTACTCTATCTCAAAGAAATGTAAGAAAAAAAATCATGTCTTTAGCATGAAGCAATATCTATGAGATCTTCTATGTTTACTAGCTTCAAATCAACAATTTTATAACTTTGATTGTTTACTTTGAAGTTCCAAAGATTTATTTTCAAATCATCCTTAGATATATATGTTTTGTAGTCACTATGTAATAGCAATGCCAAGGATCTAGAAGAAAATTCAATTCATAGTGTTGTTTGTTGAAAAATGCATGTGCATATAATATAAAATTTATGAGCATTTGAAGTGTCTTTTTTCTAGTCTTTGATATGATAATGACACAAAACTATTACTTAATGATAGAAGAGAGCACAATTAATACTATACCTATTGATAGAATAGACGTTGAGATTAAACCTTATATGTTTGTTGAAATAAAATTGATGTTATATATGCAAGCATTGTAAAATATTTTTCTACTTTTTGCAACCAACTTTCATAAACATACACATATACTCCAATAGTTACTTATATGATTAGATAGAAATATGTAAATATAGATTAATTTCATAATATCTTGTAGAGAAGCTTTTTAAAAGCTTTATAGATATAATTTTGACTTTATATATGTTTGTAGTTCATTGATAGGTTAGAAACTGGGTCAACAAATTAACTATGTACCACATATGTTAGTAGCTTGTAGAACAAATTGATTATGTGGCTCACATATAGATAACTTTTCTTGCAACTTAGGATATTTTTTTAACAAAGTTAAGACATATTGAATGTCATATAGAAGATTATCACATAGCTCTTAGTTAAAGAGTATATATGGAGGCAAGAGTCAAGCCTTCTTTATTTTTGTCAATGCATTTTTAGTCCTAAGTCTTATTTCAAGACTTTTTAGTCTTCTTGTCTTTGGTAATAGCCATACTAGTTCAATATATTACCATCTTTGAGTGATTTCTTAGTCTTTTCGAGTAACACAAGAGTGTATTGAAGATTTCTTGCTTCAAGACTCATGTCCTTGACAATTTGATAAGAGTACTAACTTATTGTTTTTATCTTATTTTAGAAGTGAGTGGATTATCCCACTTCTATTGTTGTATTTTGAAGGTTATGAATTATCCACCATTAAACAAACACTTTAGTTTTCTAACACTGATTTTTTCCTTAAAGAGAGTGAATTATCTTTTTTTGTGGAAATTCTTATTTGATATTAGAGGTTATAGATTATCCTCTTCTAATTTAATTTTTTTGAAATTATTTGAGTTGTTTATGAAAGGAAAGATTATGGATACTACTTTTAGCACAAGTGAGAATAGATTTGCAACTATTGTTGATCTTCATGTGCTTGTCAACACTCTAAGAATAAAAATCTCAAATATTTTTAATATGAATCATGGATGTACTATTTCTACATATATGGAAGAAGTCTAAAGTCTACACGAAGAAGTTGTGCAATTGAAGGAAGCAAGTAGATTAGTTTCAAAACCAAATTTAAGAAGTCTTGCTTGTACAAGCCAAAAGAAACAAGGATTAGTATGCCTACGAAGTTTGATGGAACAAGATCAAAGTTTTGAAAAATTTTGCAATAATTTAAGCTTTATTTAAAATTACATTCTTTTTAATATACTAGTGGATTTACTCAAGTAGGATTCATAAGAAAAATTCTATTAAAAAGTATTCTTTCTTGGTTTGTACCTTTGATGGAAAAAGATTCATAACTATTTTATGATTTGAAGTCATTTTTTAAAGTATTTACAGCTATATTTGCAAAAAGTGATTGAAAAAGGATAGCAGAGACTAAGCTTGTATTGCTACAATAAGAATCACATTCAACTACCAAATACATTATTGAATTCCAAAATCTTACTTACAATGTAGATTGGACTTATAAAGCTTATATCAATTAATTTTTATATGGATTAAAAGATAATATCAAATATTTATTTTTGACAATGTCAAGACCAAATTCACAAGAGCAATTTATTGTTAAAGCCATTGCATGTATTAATTGATTCTTGAAAAGATAATAAGAATAAATATTTGGTTGAAGAAGTATAAGTCAAGCCATAGTAACACTTTTTAAGTTTTAAGAAGCTTACTTGTTTAAGCCAAAGCTTATGCAAATTAGCACAATATATTTTAAACTTCTTATTAAGCAAAAAAAGACTCTTTATTGTCAAGAAGATTTATACCTATATTATAGAAAATCCAAGTATACTACTGAATATTGTCTAAGAAAGCAATGCAATCACAAAATGAGGATCATGGTTGCCAAAGAGGACAATGTGTCAAAAAATGAGCTTCTCAAGCCATAGTAGGGACCGTACAGCTAGAATCTTATGTAATACCTAATAAAGGTCTTATTCTCTCCTTAGATCTATCACCTTTTTGTATAATAGAAGTTTATTTAGGACCAAAAAATCACAAAGTCTTAGTCTTATTAAATTTAGGAAGCTAAGCCTATTTTATAGACAAAGACTTTGTCAAAAAATAAAAAATATTGTGAGTTAAAAAAACTAAATCCATACATGTAGATGTCATAGATGGTTGTTTGACATCTTTTGAAGATGTTATCTATAAAACTATTTCTATAGATGTAGCAATTAAAGATTGTAATAATATAATAATAATTAATATAATAAGATCTCTATCTAGATTGGTTATTTTAGGATTATTGTCATTAGAAAAATATAACCTTCACATACATTAAATTTCTTATAACTTTAATTTTTCTTGTAGTTTGATTCAAAATTTTGTTAGTCATGTAGATAAACATAAGTCTAATATATCTAAATCCTTATTAATATATGAAAAAGCTTTCAATATTGTGGAAAAAAAAGATTATTTTTTGCTATATATGCCACATCCATTTTTAATGGTAGAAAGACATCAAATGGTATTCCTAACTAGTATCAAGATTTTTAAGTCATTTTTTAATAGAAAAATATAGATATTCTTCTAAAACATTGATTGTATGATTATTCAATTGATTTATAAGAAGGAGCTCAATCACTATTTAGACTAATCTACAACTTATCGCAAAATGAGTTGACTACATTAAATGAATATATTAACAAGAATTTGGCTAAGAACTTCATATGCCATTTAAAATCTTGAGTAGAAGCTCCTATCTTATTTGTGAAGCAAAAAAGATGGATCTTTATAAATGTATATAAACTATTGAAGACATAATAAGATTACCATCATAAATAGGTATTCCCTTCCTCTGATTTTAAGACTTCTTGATTAACTCAATTAAACAAAGATCTACAGAAAAATAGTTCTATATGATTGTATACAATTTGGTCTTCATCAAAGAAGAAGATGAATGGATGACTACTTTTTAAAGTAGGTATAGATATTTTGAATATAATGTCATGCCATTTGAATTCACAAATGCACCATCTACTTTTTAATATCTCATGAATGATTTTTTTTGTGAGTTTCTTGATGATTTTGTTATCTATTATTTAGAGGACATTCTAAACTATTTTAAGAATAAAAAAGAATATGAACTTCATATTCATCATGTGTTATAAAAACTTAGAGATATAGGATTGTATGCCAAGATGAAAAAGTATATATTCCATACTACTCATGTTGACTTCTTAAGATATATCATTTCTAATAAAAGATTAATAATAGATTTAAAGAATTTTTAAACTATTATACATTTAAAGATTCCAAAAATAGTCAAATATATATAATATTTTTTAAAATTTGTCAATTATTATATGATTTTTATTAAAAACTTTTTTCAAGTTGTACGTCATTTTACATATTTGACATGTAAAGATAAACTTACATAGAATAAAGAAGTTGAAGTATCTTTTGAAGTATTAAAGATAGTATTTTTTTTTGTACCAATTTTATAATATGTTAATTTTTCAAAGGCATTCTTCATAGAAACAGATGTATTAGACTTTGATATACCTATTGTTTTATCACAAATGGGAGCAAATGACAAACTCCACCTAGTAGCTTTTTATTTTAGGAAATTTTCAACAATTGAGATTAATTATGAGATCCACAATAAAGAATTTTTTGCAATCATGGATTCATTTTAAGAATGACATCATTATCTAGAAGTTGCTTCTACTCAAATTATTGTATATAAAGATCATAAGAACCTTAAGTACTTCATATTGGCACATATTTTGAATCATTGTTAAGTCTATTGGAACATGTTTTTATCATGATTTGATTCCAAGATTACTTATCAATCCAAAAAACAATAAGATTTATCAAATACTTTTTTTCAACATTGATAAAGGTTCTGACTTTTATATTTTATTTTATTTAGTTATTTTTAGTTTTATTCTAATGTACTTGGTCTTATGTTGTATTGAGATCTTTGTTGTTATGGAATTGATAAGATTTTAGACCTTAAAGAATTTA